GGAATGGCATAAGAGCCAGATGATACCCAACATCATAATCTTTGGCTTTCCTTCTTAGTGGTATTTTTGGAGCATCTGGGAGCCCTGCTGAAAGAGCAGACCTCGGCTGTGCTCTGTGCTGTGCAAATGACAAGCAAAGAGATGGTCGCTAGCCTAAGGCACTTCCAGGCTCCATGTGTGCCAAGAGCGCACAGCTGGATGTGTGCGCTGTGCTCATCCAAGGACTTTGAAGAGGAAGGCTGCGGGAACTGACAAAGAGTGGCCTCTCTCTTCCTGAAAGGAATCGTTTCCACGGCCAAGAAGGAATTACTAGTGCAAATGTCCAAGCGCTCTAGTCGAGAGTAGCCCGCTTCTGCGGGAGATGGGAGACCAGTGTCCGTCACAGAGGGTTTTGCTGTTTGCACAGAGCAGAGTTGTTTTGAGGGAAGAAACGGTGAGAGAAGGCAGCAGGTCCTTAAGTGCAGACAGAGAGAGCACTCGCACAGAGACGCAGCGACGGCCCCCTCTCGTACCGAGGGAGCAGAGGCACGCACCCCATGCGCAGAGGAGCAGCCTGATGGGCAGACTGCCAGCTGTGGAGCCCTGAGGTGGCGTAGTGCTTCGCCCTGCATTTGCTCTCTACGAGTCCCTTCAGAAAAGGCTGTTCTCTGGGCTCCCCAGGGCTGAGTAGAGGGGCAGGATCACCTCCCCGCACCTGCTGGCAACGCTCCACCGAATGCAGCCCAGGATACCATAGGCCTTGTGGGCCCCAAGGCTGCTTTGCTGACCATGTCCAACTCGCTGTGCACGAGGTCCCACAGGTCCTTCTCTGCAAAGCTGCTCACGAGCTTGTTGGCCTCCAGCATGTGCTAGTGCAGGGGGTTCTTCCTCGCCAGGTGCAGGACTTGGCATTTCCCTTTGTTGAACTTCATGAGGTTCCGCTCTGCCCACTTCTCCAGCCTGACAAGGTCTCTCTGAAGGGCAGGACAAACAGCTGGTGTCTTAGCCACTCCTCCCAGTTCTGTATCATCCGTGAAGTTGCTGGGGGTGCACTCTGTGCCACCTTTGGGCGGTCCTTACTGAACATGTTAAACAGTATCGGCCCCCAGAATGACCCCTGGGGGACACCGCTAGTGACTGACCTCCCACTGGACTTTGTGCTGCTGATCCCAACCCCCTGGTCCTGACCGTGCATCCAGTTTTCAGTCCCCCTTACCGACCTTTTGTCTAGCCCAGACTTCATTAGCTTGTCTGTGAGGATGCTATGGGAGGCAGCATCAAAAGCCTTGCTCAAGTCAAGATAAACAGCACGGACTGCTCTCCCCTCGTCCGTCAAGCCAGCCATCTCCTCCCAGAAGGCTCTCAGGTTGGTTAAGCATCATCTCCCCTTCCCCTCCAGAAATCCCTGCTGATTCGTCGGCCAAACCTTCCTGTCATTCACGTGTCCGGAAATGGTTTCCGGGATTAGTTGCTCCGTCACCTTCCCGGCGATCAAGGTCAGGCTGACTGGCCGGTAGTTGCCACAATCCTTCTGGCCTTTCTTCAAGAGAGGGGTGGCATTTTCTCTCTTCCAGTGCTCTGGAACCCCTCCTGATCGCCATGGCCTTTCAACCATAACCCAGGGTAGCTTCACAGTGACATCGCCTGGATCCCTCAGGAATTGCTCGAGTCCCTCAAACTCGAGCTTGTCGTTGGCCTTCTCTTTCCTTTCAATGTTTCCCTTACGCTCACATTTACCACTTTCACAGTCACTTCTGGGCATGATAAAGACATGACTTCACAAACGCCCCTTCTTTATAGGGCGCCTGTGGTGTTTGAGCGCCTTCTTTCCGCAAGAAAACCTGAACGCGGGGCTTAAAAATCCTTGGTCCTGTGTACTGCTCCATAGGCAAGTTTCTTAACTTTTCTTCCTGTAAATACTTACGTTTTCCACTGCAGTTCCTCTTTCTCCTAAGCAGTCGGTGATTCCAGTGAGTGCAGCTGAGGTTCAGCTTGTGAATTTTAATCTTCCATGTAAACCCTTAGCTGAGGAAAAAAGATTGATTTTTATGCCTATGAGTTCTATGTTAAAGGCCACATAGCCATGCATCTTTCTAAAGAGTCTTTAAGAGCCTCAGTGTGCTCCAGCTCGCACATCAGATGCATTTTTGCCATTGATGCCAACAGGAGCAGCCTGCATCTGACAAAATGAAAAACATCACGTGCAAGTGCCGTGCCCCGGAACTCTGCAGACTGACACATCTAGTTGTTCTTTTTTATAAGTAGAAACATCCAATGCTAAAGTCAATTTCTTCCTGGCTGTGCAACACAGTGTCTCCAGATCCTCTTCAGCTGATGATACAATGTTCACAGTCTACCTTGGGGTTTTCTATTGCATTTTTAATGGCACACACTTGTGAGTCACATCATGGCTGTTTAAACCCAAAAAATCATGTCTGCGAATATTGCTCAGGGAAAGACCTTTAAAACATTAGCAGGTACTCTGATATTCCCAGGTTGCAAGGGTCACAAGGTACTAATCTTCTGAGTGAAACATGGACTAAGGTGGGACACAAAACCTTATCTTGCTACACTGAAGAGAATCCTAGTCCTGCTTTAGTAATTGCAGCTTGAGTAATCTAGTGGTTTTTAAACTGTGAATGCCCACAGATGCCTACAGATCCATGAACTACTTCTGAGGCATTCATATGAGACAGGGGGGGAAAAAAAGCAAATGTACTGGAAGTAGGTTAAAACTTGGAGGACAGTGTAGCTCCCCTGGAGACTGAGACCACACATGGAAGAAATTTGCAAGTCCGAAAGGGTTCACAAGTTTTGATCTAGTCAATCACATCTTTCCCCCCTTTCAAAGATGGGAGTGCCCCCAACGTATTGATGCTTCTGAGTCAACACCATGTTTCCACAACTAAAAGCAGATCTGTAATGAAATCCCATGCCATATTCTCACCTGGTATTAGTCTCGGACAAAGGTAGAATGACAGATCCCTGCCAGTGGAAGTAGCCTGAGAAACTGAAGTGTTAAGACTACTGAATGCTGTGCTGCTTCAAAAAAAGCACTAGCTGTGTCAAGAAAAGAAGGGACGTGGAATCAAGAGCAGATTATCAAATGCAAGAAACAAACAGGAACTTCAGGCATGAGAGTCTTGTATGATATGAAAAGTACCTGACACACACCACGCTGGCAACAACTTTTAAGACCTGTGAAGTGAAACATATAAGGCAGCTCTTATAGGTTCAAAATAATCAGACATCTCTCATAAGTCATCTCCATAAGTAAAACAAAAGGCAGTGGAATTTTCAGACAGATATATTTTATATCAATGCTATTGTTTCCTGACTAAAAAATACTCCTTTCTTACTGTTTCTGTTACTAGGTCTCACACAGTCACATACATACGTCCTGCTCGTTTGGCTCATTCATCTTGTACTTTATAGCCAGAGTCCTCTGGGGACTCTGTGCTTCCAAAGCCCTAAACTTGGCCAAGAAATCTAGATCCTAGGTTGAAGTAACTAATAATTACAGTGATAATAAAACATACTTGTGGCCAAGATACCTAGCCAAAAATATACTAACCATACCCAAGAAAAGAAAAAATTACCTTGCCTAAGATAAATTCTTATTATATTGCCCTAGGAACATTGAATATCCTCTGGTTTGAGATTTTTTTTAATTTTTTTAAATTTACATAGGTTTCCATTTTGTCTGTCTTTCTTACCCTTGCATGGCTAGAGCAACGCTTGGTCTTTTCCATGTTGCAAAAGCAGCTTTTTCTTGTATTGCACCAATTTCAAGGTAACTCACCCAGCATGGCCACAAGAATGTGGGAAGCCCAGGGAAGGCAGTGGGTGCAGGATGTCATTCCCAGCCTCGCTGCTGAAGCAGACTGAAAGAAGAGAGTCTTCCTCTCCCTTTTGTGCTCTGTGGGCATTAAGGAGGTAGGAGGCAGAAGGAGAAGGCAAGACCACTTGGTTGCTGAAGGCATATGGCTGCATGTGTTAGAAATGTAATGCCTGCTTTATTTGTGTTGCAGTAGCGCTGGTCACGGACCAGGACCCTGTTGAATCAGCCACCATACAAACACGGAGCAAAAGCAGTAATCCTTGCACTTTGGTTAGCTAGTAAATCACCCTCATGTCAAAGGACAGGAATTTGCCTACTTATGGTTAGGAAGTAATCATGCTTTCTGTTGGCATGTTGGATTCACTCTGTTAGTCAGGGCACAGAGACTCATGCAGATGGGAAGAATAGAATCGATGTTAGAGGCTGTGACCCCATCCCGTTCTTTCCTCCGACTGCCTGAGACAACTGCATTTCGATTTCAGAATAATCATTAAAAGCCCTGGGTTTTGTCCAGTTTTCTCAGCCTAGAAAAATGTTTTGTGACAAGCCATAGCAGCATCCTCTCAGCCTCCCAAATGAAAGTTAAGTAAACCATGCTCTCATTCTCCCAGCCAGAGGGAGGATCTGTGACAGCAACTTCATCCATATACTCTTTTTCTACTTCCAGCTTCTATTTTATAAATAACAGGCTTTCAAAATTGCCCATGCCATTCTGTCCAGTACCAGTTTATTAGTGTTGTTCCTACAACAAAGGATTTGCAGGCAAAACTGCAAATGCAGGTTATTTACAGAGGAGAACAGTTTAAAAAAAAAAAAAAAACACACTGGAAAACGCAGGCTTTGCCACTGTAAAGACTCGTGCTAAACCCAGCTCTGCACATCCAGATTCATCTACCACCATATTGAAAGTGCATGTATTAGGCCATTGTATCTGGGATTACTTAGGCCACAAGTCTTCCGTAAAGCACCCCTCAGAGAGTACATATCAACTTACTATTTACACAGCATTGTACCTGGCTTAGCACCTGACCCAGAAATGAATTTCTTGTTCTGTAGAGCTGGTTTAGAAGCCCTCAGCAAGCAAGAGAAGACAACATAGGGGAAGAGAAGGCCTGGGGAGATAGTAACGGATGATGTCTTTGGAGAGAGGTGATGGTCGGGTCTCCCCAGCCAACCCGTATTGTAGCAGGTCATAGGTCGGGGCCAGGGCAGGCCAGGGTGGCCATTAGCCAGCACGGCCCTCACTCCTCAGGAAGGCCAGGGCTTCTCTCAACATTGACAGTGCTGATGAGAGGTGGTGTATTAATAAAACAGCCCTGGGCAGAGACAGCTTCACAGTGATGGGTTATCTGTTGCTGCCATTTCTGTGATGCCCCTTCTGCCCCTCAGAAATGGTCAGTGTCCTGATATTGTCCATGAAGTGCGTTAGGATGAAGAGTGCTTGGCACACCCAGGACTCACAACAGACCTGTAAGGACCGTGGTTTGTTCTGGAAAAATATACCTTTGCATTCAGAGTTGGGTGAGAGGAATCGGGGCCTTCACAGAACAGCATTCACAGCATGATTCAGCCAGGCATGAGCTGCTCCTCAGATAACAACTGCTTAGAGCTCCTCTTTCTACATCTATGTACCTGTTGTTGGTACAACAGATAACAGCACGCAAAACTCAGAACTACCACCACCACTGACAACTGCTGCAGGCTTTGGAACCTGCAATCCAACAAATCAATAATGATTGTCTCGGGATGTGTGTATTTATACATACCTACGGAATGAAAAAGGCATTGTTAACTTAAAGACATATCGTATGATTTAAGTATGAATTTTTTGTACGTTTGAATTCTTAAAATGTATATATATTCTCCCGACATGAAGCAACTACATTATTATAACTGGAGTACAAATATGTTGGATGTATATGGCTTTTTATCAATATGTTTTAGAGCACTATATACAAGAGGTAAAAATGGCTTCTGAAAAAATCACCAGTGGTTCAGGTAGCATTTTGTGACAGCCAACGATGG